AGAGTTGTTCTTGAATTGTTGCTTCTGTTTCTTTTTCCTCTTAATTATTATATATGGAAGGATTTAGTAGTTTCCATTCCAATGGGACTGGCTATTTTTGAGTTTAAAAAGTGTTGGTGGTCTTTGGGATGCTTGATCGAGAGGAAAGGCTAAGCATGTTTACAGAGACTTGTAGTGTAAGATCCTATGAGTGTGAATGGAAGTAATTGAGGTATGACTTTGGAATGGAAAGTATATTACTTGATTTTGAGATTTTCTTTTTCCTTTCCATTTCAGTGACTGGACCACTGTCAGAACAGCAGATTGCCTATGTTAGCAGAGAAACACTACAGGTAGTTGCGGTTGACTTCTAATGTAAAAGTATTAAGAGCAAAAAATCTACAAATAACGTGATAGTATGGCAGCACTTTTCTCTGACTTTTGAGAAGGTCCTGTATTACAGCCTAGAACTGCTGTGTATAATTACATAACCTCAGTTTACCCTGGATCACTTGAAGAAAACTCTCATCATCTTTCTGTTGTTAATTTTGTATTTGTTTTATAAAAGGGGGAAGCAGCATGTTTCTTAATCCATATTTGTGGTATAAGTTAGTTGTTGCAGGTTTGAAGGAAAATGTAAACACTGTGTTTTGCATATCTGGTAGTTGTTCTTTGCCACTAAAAAAAGTTGCATGTGTCTTTGAGATGTTTAAGTTAAGGTCACGACCCTCTCCTTGTGGGTATTGCTAGCTTTCATTTTGCTTTCTGAAATTACTGGTTCAGTACACTAGTAAAGCTTAACCAGAAACTGCTTTTTCTTGATGGATGTCTTGCTTCAATGTGAGGGAGCAGTTCCTGGCTTCTAGTGAATGTGGACCTGTTGAATGCCATCAGTTCAGAGCTGCTGCCTCTCTCAAACATTCTTTCAAGATAGCTCTGTTCCTGGGCTCCATTGGATGCCACTTACCATTTCCCTATGCTATGCCAGACTTTACAGACTTCGGACTTACATGACATGGCTCTTCGTTCTTTACAGTGAAGGCTTATGTGACATCTGGGAGTGTTAAGGTTTTTTAATCCTTTAAACACTTTTGTTCTTACAGAATTGTAGAATGGTTTGGGTTGGAAGGGACTTCTGAAGATACCCCTGCAATGAGCGGGGACATCTTCAGCTAGACCAGAGCCCTGCCCAGCCTGACCTTCCATGTTTGCACGGATGGGTCATCTGCCACCTGTCTGGGCAACCTGTTCCAGTGAATCACCACCCTCATTAAAAAAATCTTTATTCCTTAAATCTAGACTGAATCTACCCTGTTTTAATTGAAAACCATTACCCCTTGTCCTGTCACAACAGGTCCTGCTAAAATATTTAGCCCTATCTTTCTTATAAGACCCTGTTAAGTATTGAAAGGCTGCAATGAAGTCTCCCTGGAGCCTTCTCCAGACTGAAAAACTGCAAGTCTTTCAGCCTTTCCTCATAGGAGAGGAGCTCCAGCCCTCTGATCACTTTTGTGGTCCTCCTCTGGACTCACTCCAGTGCGCGCGTGTCTTTCTTGTGTTAAGGACACAAGAGGGGCAGAATTGCCTCCCTTGACCTGCTGGCCACACTGCATTGAATGCAGCCTAGTGTGGTTGGCTTTCTGGGCTGCAAGTGCACACTCTGAGCTCATGTCCAGCTTTTCATCCACCAGTACCCCTAACCTCTCCCCAGGCTGCTTTCAGGCCCTTCATCCCCAAGCTTGGATTGATACCAGGAGTTGCTTCCACTCAGGGGTACCACTTGCACTTGGCCTTGTTGAACATGAGGTTCACATGAGGTTCTGTGATGGGCCTACTTCTTGAGCTTTTTCAGGTCCCTCAGGATAGCATCCTGTCCCTCAGGTATGTCAATAACACTATTCAGCTTGGAATCATTTGCAAATCTGCTGAGGGTACAATTGATCCCACTGTCGATGTCACTGATGAAGATATTGCACTGTCTAGTATGGACCCCGAGGAACACCACTTGTCACTCATCTCCATCTGGACATTGAGCTGCTGACCACTACTGTCTGGATACAGTAATCTAGCCAATTCCTTACCCACCAAATAGTTTATCAATCAAGTCCATAATATTCTCAGCATATGGAGGAGTGTTTCAGTAGTCTAGAAGGGACTTTATGAAATTATTTGTTATGTGGGAAGATGTCTTGATTCATACGTATAAATTGTGCGTAAGATAGAAACTTGCTATTTTGTATGTATTTTTAGTGTTCTTCATGGACCCATTTTTGTATAGTTTAAATTGTCTGTAAATACTTGGAAATAATACTCTGACAAAATGTATATAGTTTCTGATGTCTTGTTGTAGCTTATAATGCAACATCACTTTTTTAGTAAAAAATTTGAGAATATATATATATATTGTCCATTCATAAAAGTAATTTGTCCGACATTGATTTTCCCACAAGCTTCCATGAATCTGGAGTTTCACTTGGATGCCTAAAGTTAGCATTCAGTCTCCATATTTAGAGTCCTATTAAATTGTCCATTTTCATAAAAAAACACTAGCTGTCAGTTTTGGTTGGACTTGGTGAGATTGATTCTGAAAATACAGGTCCTGTAAATATGACCTTCAAAGTACTTGTCTCCAAGCATTCAGTTTGGAAAATGCTGATGGCAGATTCTTCCAGAATAATGGTAAAAATGTTGAGTTGATGGACTTTATGTGCCAGCAGCAGCCACAGATTTAAGGAGTGTACATGGGACTCTTCTAGCTAGTGCCAGTTGTTGCATTGGTGTGATAGATGCTTTGATTAGTTACACTTTGTACAAAAAGCAAATTGAGTGCAATTTTTGGGTCTGCATGCCTGCAATGAGGACTCTGAAAAAACACTGGACCGACTGCTTATTGTTAGTCATTTGCCCTAGAGAAAGAGGTTAAAGCATTTAAGGAGCTTTTTTGCTCTTTTAGTTTAAGGAATTGAATTTCATTAACTGATTAGCACATCAGTTACAGTGCATACAGGCTTTTATGACCTGATAAAAATTACCCCAAAGACTGTATATTCAGTGGTACTGTCATCTGTCTGTACAATATTGTTCACTTGAGATTTCAAGTACCAAGTCATGTAAGTAATGGTTTCCTCATTTATCCTGTTGGTACATTTTGACCATCCATAAAAATGCTGATAATTGAAAAGAATCCTAATTTATTTCTGCAATCAACTCTGTGAAGTCTTGCATGAACTGACAAAAAATATCTCCCATGAACCTAAAGCCTTATGGAAGATATTTGTGTCATTTTACCCCTGGAAGAGAATTTTAGAGATAGTCCTGGAGTGTCAAAAGTGACGTGCTCTGTGATTTGTTATGCAGGGATTTGATTTTGTAGAACTCTTTCAGAATGTAAAGTTTCTAACCTATGTGGAGTCTTAAAATGTTTTGGTACTGTCATGGAGACCCAGAAGGACAGCCTAATGCTTCTGCAGAAATCTGTGAGTTAGAGTTGAAGTCTGGTGTTAGACCCAAAGCACTGCCTTACTAGCATGTTTCTAGGCTTGATTGAAGTGAGTAATGATACAGGAGATAACTGCACTAGCTCTCCAGTGACCTGAGAGCTGAATGGAAGACTTAGGCAATTTAACAGTAATTAGCCTGGTCTAAAAAGGTGACAGTTACTATGCCCAGAGGAAAACCTGGTTGGGGAATACCCTTCTTCCAGTAGATGTAGTCACTGGTATTCTTTCCATCTATCCTGTGTTTTAGATATTAGATACATATCTAAATTTATTTATATAAAGATATTTACATATTCTACTACATATATTGAATTTGCAAATTTACAGCAGGTTACACTGAAAGATAAAAATGTTCTTTAGTCAGTGAGTCATCTAGGTGATTGAATTGAATTCTAAATATATGTGGTAATTAAGTAAGAAGTGGTTATAAAATGAAAAACATTGAACTAAATGATTATCTAAATATTTTATGCAGGGACTATATTATCTTCACAGTAAAGGAAAAATGCACAGAGATATAAAGGTAAGCAAAACTGAAGGGAATTTTGGTGCTTTTGAAATAAACTGTATCACCTCCAGTGAGTCTTTACTGTTATGTATTAATTTGGGGTATATTTTTTAATATGTAGGGTTTGGGGTTTTTTATCTGTTAGAATGAAAAAAAGCTTCCACCCAAGGGAGAAAAGGTTTTTTTTTTTCTTTCTTTAAAATGCATGCATGGCTAATAGTTTGTTCTTTTCATTGAAGCCACACGTACTATTTATTTAGACCAGTGCTGTAAAGTTTAGACATCAGCTGGTGTCCAGAGCCATATATGTGCAGATGGTTGTAACGGTGTGCTCTGTGTAAAAGAAAGGTTTGGTCTTCCCGTAGTGTTTCTAAGGAAGCTCAACAGACCCTTCTTTTTGAAGCAGCTAGCGAGCAGAGCTGTTGTTTTGGCTTCTTGCTTTTTTTGGTGAGCAGATTGCAGGGCAGTGGCTGCTGTTCTGTATGGTTCTTGGAGACTACTTCTGTCCCCTCCCTCGCATGTTAAATATAGAAAGGGTGCTGCAGATCAGGCTATTAGCACTGACTTGCTTAAATCTTCATCTCAACAGAGCTGCATCAAAGGCAGCTTGTTCAGACTCCCACACACACCGTTATGGTTTCATTCTGGTGATTCCTGTTGGCTTTTTGTTCCGGGAGTTTTACTGCCTAGTCATTGCCTTTCCAAAGTCTTCCTTGTTCAGACTGCAGCTTAGACTTCTCAAGCTTCCTCCTGGAAATCTGACAGTAAATTGTCATGTTTCTTTGTGTTGTTGCATGGAGTTGGTTTTGTTAGTTTGGTTTGTTTTCATGCAGACTAGGGGTGCAATGTACATAGCAGTTTTGATTGTGGATGCCTTCATGAAGCCTGATTCCAAGTTCTTCTCATTGGCTGCAGAAGAATATTTCGTGTTTGAGCTATCATAAAAGTAATTTCTGAATGAAAGGTTTCTTTGGACACCAAAATTAAGCATTTCCCGTTATACTTTATAGAAAACAAAACGATGCTTGCAAGGATACAGTGCACAGATACTTTTTCTAAGCAGAACTGTGCTGATAACAAATGCTTACAGTGCTTTCATTGAGAATTATTATTTTTTTTAAAAAAAGCGGTTCTCATGAGCATGGCACAATACCATTCTTCATCTGCAGATTGCCTGACTGCTTCCTTCAGTAGCTAAGTAACATACTTAGATTACCTGTCCTGTTAGTCCTGAAAGGTGAACAAGGTCAAGAGCATGTGAACTGGGCTGTCACACTGTTTACCATTTATCAGGCTCATTAACTGTACTTGTGTGACATGTGCCAAGTTAGCTGCATTTTACTGCAGGCCTGACTTTCCCTTCTCTGTGAAAGCCATAATCTGTAAAAACATCGTTTTTTGGAGGTTCATCTCTGCTGCCCTTCCATCTAGTTTATGGGCAGTGCTGACATTTTGAGCTGTGCTTAGCCAGCTCTAGCTGGCCTTCATTGAACTCAGCCTGTACCTGGTTTCAGATCAGATTTGTGCTCAGTCCTTTTTTCTTGTAATTTTGTGATACAAACCTCAGTTTTGGGTTACTTTTAATTATTGAGCTGAAGTGAGGGGTACACACAGCCATACAAAAATGAACTCTTCAAATCTAGCACCAGTGGAATCTCTGTTGCATAAGGATGGAAGCAGTTTTGCTAAATGCTTGAATACTGAGGCAGGTTCTTAAGGCTATAACTGTAGTAAACATGGCTCTCCAACAAGGCAAAACCTGTTCCTGCTTAGGGGAAAAAAATCAAATTGTTTCCGCTTTGACCTTTAGCGTTTCTATTTCCTTTCAGTCATTGTAAATAGAAAAAAGGAGGAATTAATCAGCATAGACAAATCATCATGTTCTGTTTTTTGAGAGAAGTTTTGTGTGCAATGGAAGGTCTGTGGTGCCGCAGGCTAAACTAAAAATTAATGAAAAACCCTTTATATCCGAGGGTTGTTTTTTTTATATATATAACAGAATGGCAACTTGCTGATTTCACAAAACCTTGGTAAGGCTGCAGATTTATTGAATACAATCCTTGCTTTGTTTTTGGCCCCTAGTTTGCCATAACATCTCACATAGTTTTTTAAAATACAGTATTGGAACAATCTGTGTGTTTTAATTCAAGTATACTTGCTTTTTTTTAAAGGGAGCAAACATTCTTCTAACAGATAACGGACATGTAAAATTAGGTGAGTTTTTATGTGTTCTAAGGAGAAGTCTGCTGGATTTTGTTCAATGATGTGATGGTTCATGTAAGGAGTTAGTGAATATCAGAATTCTTTTTATCTTGCTGGAAATATCTAACTGAACAATCCATTTAGTATCTGAAGTTTAATTGGAGTAGTTCTGGAACAGTGAGGTTAAAAGACCCTCCAATACTGTAAGAGGAAAGTAAAAATAAAATCACATGCTTTTATAAATTTTTAATGAAATGTACGAACTAGAGTGATTAAGTGTGAAATGTACATTGAAAGGTTATCTGAAAGAATCTCTAGGATAGCACAAAATTAAGTTTTCTACCATATTAAAACACTGCATTTAACTGTTAGACGTTCTGTGCTGGCCTATTATTCCTTTTGTGGATGAGGGACATGTTTGTGTGCATGTTTGGCAAGCACTGAGGGGAGCTGTCTGATGGTATCTGAGATACACAACTTTCCCTTATTTGCTTTTGTTATTTATTTTTTTGTTAAATATTTCTAGTATATTTAAGAACCTCTTACAGTGGGGAAACCAAACTTGTGTTCATTAACAATTAATTACATCAAACCAGTTGTTAACTGCTGGTTTGGTTTTGCCTTTTTTTTTTTTTTTTTCTAGCTGATTTTGGAGTATCTGCACAGATAACAGCTACAATTGCCAAAAGGAAATCGTTCATTGGCACCCCATATTGGTAACTGTGTTTTACTTGAACATTATATAATGGTAACATATATAATACTGTTGGAAAATTGTGATAAAAGCATGCTCTGTCTCTTCCTGGGTAGATTAATCACTAAAGGCTGTGTCAGACTTTCTAGTGATCATATCTGCTATTTATGCCAAATCCTGAATTATCTGAGAATTGGAGAAAATGCTTTAATGCTCTGAAAAATTGAAAGGTGTCTACTGGCATCGCTTGACTAATTTATCTCAATTTAGTAAAACTTAAACACAATTTTGCTTGTTTTTAACATTGGTCCTAAATATTTTTTTCTTCCATGATTTTTCCATTTTGATGTTTTAATTTCTTCCCCTCGCTGGATACATCTTTTCTGCAACTTTTCAGTTGATAATGAATTTCATTTGTTTTTCTCCACAAATTCTTTTGCCACTTGTGAAGTGTTTCCTCTAAGCTTTTTTTTTCCCTTAACTGCCTAAACTGATTGAATTGTATTGTACATTTCTATTCTGTCTGTACTACATCTTTATTCTTCCCTCAGTAAACTAGTTTGTACAATTTATCTTGTCTGTTCAGTCTTTCACTTATATCTTCTTCATGCTGGAAGTAGTTGTTGGCGTGCATTCTTTACTGTAAACCAACACTTCTGTTGTACATTTCCCAAACAGTCATTAAACATCCTATTGTCTGGCAGCATAGTAGGCACAAGATAAAAATGTATATAATGAAAATACCCCTATGCTCAAGTATTGACTTGAAATAGTCAAGCATGGTATTTTAGCCTTCTTGTGGCACTGTAAGTCACACAAAGGCATGGATTCACTTCCCTTTCAGAATAACACAAAAATCCGTCAGTCATGATTGTGTGGTTGGTGTCTCTCTTTCCCAAGATGTCTGGGTGTCCTCAGTCCTGGCCTGCAACTTCCAAATTGTGTCAGACTTCAAAATAACAACTTTGAAAGGTTAAATGCTGGTGAAAAGCATCAGCTGTTCTTTGCAAAGCTGCTGAGAGATTTGATAGCAGAAGCAAGGAAGCAAAATTATTGAGATTGTGGAGAAGAAACTTTAGTGAAAACAGGCAGTGTAAGTTCTACCCCCAAACCTGATAATTTCAGATCTACAGATGAGGTTGCCTATATTTAAATAACACATCATTTGAACTGCTGTTTGCTGATTTACTGCAGCACTCATTAAAGGACATTCATATGTACTGAGTTACATCTCCAGATGTACTGCTACTTTGCAGGTGATCTGGACTGATAAAAGTTCAAGCTAAAAAATACTAACATGTTAGCCACCTGATAGGACTGTGTTGGACAGTCAAATTCGTAATTCACTTTGGCTGTCCAAAACATGTAACCTGCTGTTTGCTGATTTACTGCAGCACTCATTAAAGGACATTCATATGTACTGAGTTACATCTCCAGATGTACTGCTACTTTGCAGGTGATCTGGACTGATAAAAGTTCAAGCTAAAAAATACTAACATGTTAGCCACCTGATAGGACTGTGTTGGACAGTCAAATTCGTAATTCACTTTGGCTGTCCAAAACATGTAACAATGCCTGGTGATTGCTTTAGGTTGTTCAAGTGTCAGTTGTGCTTGTTAATTTTTGACACCTGAGAATGTGAAACTACTTTGTTAACTTCAGTGAGTTTGTCTGGCATAAGTGAGGCAGAGTTTCCAAACAAGGAGTGCTCTGGACAGAGGTGGCAGTGAGTCTTCAGGTCTCAGGCTTTTGGAATATGAGAAATATGACGTTTTGTTGCTTTCTTGTGGTAGAATTTTTCTTTTCAAAGTCAGTTGATCACTTTTTGGGGCAATGTGTGGATTTAGATATTGTTTGTATTTTATTGTAGTTGAATAATTATACCTTAGACTCTGTTGAGTAGTTTGTTGTATGCCTGCAAAAAAGTCTGACATATGGTTGATTTCATCCACTTACTGACTGTTTCAGAAACTGCCTGTCAGTCACTAAAAGATGATTGAGGAAAATTTCAGGTTTACATTACATAACTTTTTATACACGCACAGGTATATGCTGTGAGCTGATAGATTGAGAGCATTAGGGACGAGAGTTCTAAACTGCTGCGTACAAAAGATTGATTGATTGATTTGTAGGGAGAATTTTACCTAAAAATGTCTTTTATCATGTAGGATGGCACCAGAAGTTGCTGCAGTAGAAAGAAAAGGTGGCTATAACCAACTCTGTGATCTGTGGGCAGTTGGAATAACTGCTATAGAGCTTGCTGAACTTCAGCCTCCAATGTTTGACCTACATCCAATGAGGTTAGTAAGGGGTTAGAGCTTGGTGGGTAAATACAGCTTATTAAATAATCCATTTGAAGAGATGATTGTGTGCTTGTGGTGTTTGGGTGTACTGCAGGGGTGTTGGGCTAGAAATGTTCTGAATGAACAGGATAGAAATTGCAACAACTTTTTGGTGTGTGAACGGGTAATGTTGTCCTGGTCTCATCTCTTGTACTGATGGTACTTCTTCCTGCCAACTAAATAATGTATTTAATAATTCATCTCATATATGTATTGCAATGTAAACCACAAATGCTGTTGTTGTTTTCAGAGCCCTTTTTCTAATGACAAAAAGCAACTTCCAGCCTCCTAAACTAAAGGACAAAATGAAATGGTAAGTGCTTTCATTTTTCCATAGATAATGAGGATATATTTTACTGGGCAATTGATTTAAATGTTTACCATTTCATTTACAGGTCCAATAGTTTCCATCATTTTGTGAAAATGGCACTTACAAAAAATCCTAAAAAAAGACCTACGGCCGAAAAGTTGCTACAGGTATAAATTTATGTATGGGATTTCTTTTAAGTTATAAAAATAAAATATGGTTAATATGAGTGGCTGAAATTTTAATCTGTGTGCTGCCTTCTGTCTTTCAGCATCCCTTTGTTACCCAGCCATTAAATCGAAGTCTTGCTATTGAACTTTTGGACAAAATGAATAATCCTGATCATTCCACTTACCATGATTTTGATGATGATGATCCTGAGGTAGGAATATGTTTAAATGATAGGATCAGATAAAGTTTTTGTTTCCTGGGAAAACTAAATTATTAGGATTTATTGAGCCCCAGAATGTTTTGTGATCTGGAAACAGTTCCAAGGTTTGCTTTTGGTTGTGCTGCTGTCACATGTACAGGCTCTTACCAAAAGTCATTGTATTTGGGGGGAGAAGCTCAAAGAGAGAGAGATGTAAATAGTTTAAATTTTCTTTATTGTTGTACTTCAGTGATTTTGCAACAGTAAATGCGGTCTGCTTCTCCAGTCCTGTGTTCTGTCATGAGTTTCACTGTCTGTTTCTTTGTGGAGTTATGTTTCCATTCACCTGCAAAGAAAGCATTCATAAAAATCATTGTATACCTGTGTATGAGAGAGTGATCCTGTAGTTGTTTTTGTCAAGTTGTGTGTTCTGTGTTTCTTGCAGATCATGTTTTTCCATTAAAGCTGCTTTTAACAGCTGGGAAAATGTGAAGATGTAGGATGATAAACAGGACAGGACTGAAGTGTTGAATAAGTCAGAGAAAACAGATATTCTGTTACTGCATCCTGTCTTCACACTTTACTGCATGTTAGTGAATACTTTCCAAATGTTTACAGTTGCCTAACTGATGGCCTTTTTTTGGAAGAAAAAAATGTAATCCTTTCAACACAAATGCCATTGATTTGTTGCTTACATACTTGTGTGTTTTTAATGGATAAACTAGTCAAAAAATGTATTCAAAGGAAAAGAAGCTTAAAAGAAGAAACTACTTTAAGAGATTAATGTTCAGATTTTACAAGTTAAATGAGCCTTTACCTTCTGAAACAGCAAGTTCACGTGCACCAAGTCTGTCTTAGAAGTTGAAACAAATATGGAAAGAAGCAAAAGCAAAATAGATGTGTTGTGTGTGTGTGTGTGTGTGTTGTGCAGTACAATGTTTACATATTTTCTAAGTAAGAGGGAGAGAGAGGAAGGCATAAGAACTGAGTAACAGTCCATACTTTTAAAAAGTGGAGCACACTTAACCGATTTTTCTGATGAAAAATATTTATGAAAGTTGAGCACACAAGAAATCCCTTAATGTGGTTGACTTCCATGTCACTGTTAACAGAAAGGTGTCCGATTTCTGAGTAACTTGGCTGATCTTCTCACCATAAACTCTAAGGATTGTATGTCCTTTAGTTCTCTGTTCAGTGATGAGAGTTCTGACACCTGTTAAAGTGGTATTTCAGTGAAAACTAGGAAACCAAAGCTTTCATGAGCTGTTATAAGACAAAAGGCAGCTGTTTTCAGTGTGCTTCCTGTCAGTGAACTCCTGACAGGCTTCCCTGCTTTCCTGGAAGTTGTGCTGAAACGCTGATGTACCATTCCTCTGTGTTACTGGTATATCTTTTCAGTAAGACACTACACCTTTATTTTGGGCTGCTCAGGTGTATACTCTTCTCTTCTTGTATCCAGTCCCTTCAGTACATATCTTATTTACAGTTACCTGTAGCTTTCAAAATAGTGTTCACTCTTATGTTCCTTGTGACTTAGCCTTAAGAAGGCTCTTCTGTTGTGTAGTGTATTACTTATCAGTTTTCCCATAATGAAATGTGGTATCAGGAGCAAAAGCTATGTCTGGGTAGAAAATGAAGAGAAAACAACCTCACAGCAGTGATCAGAGAAAATGCTTATTTTCATCTTTTATAAGGGAGCTAGCTGGCTGCAGTACACAGGGTAAGCAAGCTGCTTGTCTCTTTTGCTATGCATTTTTCAGGTATTGGTTTGTTTGTTCTTTATCTTATGTTGCTGATGGTTTCCTGCTGCATTTGTGGGCTTCTGTGCTAGGCATAACTGTACTCTTCATTCATTGTTCGGCATGTGGCGTTGAGCTCTCCAGTGAGCTTCAAACACTGTTGCCAGTGCTGCTGGATTATTTACATTGTGTAGGCAGCTTAGATGTGAGAGACATTTTTTCCCAACCTTGTTGCTGGATAATTTTGCACTGAGGCATTTAGTGCACCTGCAAAATGAGGTTGATAGTGACGTTTGGATAAACATTTTGGTTTGCATTCAATCTGGAACCCACCTCTGTGAATAAAGTAGGTAGTAATGAGTTATATGATGAATCTTGAGTAAGTTCTGTATTTCGGATGAAGGATCTTATCACAGGCAAAACAATTGTTGGCATTGTGGTCTTTCCTATAATAAATGAATGGAATAGGAAGTGGATGTGCTCCTTCTATACACAGCTGAACTTGCTCCAAAACCTGCCTGCTCACAGAGGCAGCTGAAGATGTTAATCTGAATTTGAGGATTGACCAGTCCTATACTTGTGGCAATTGCCAAAATGCATCCATCAAAACTCAAAAGAAATGACAAAATGTGGTACAACATGGCACAGTACGAGAACATTGGTGGGAATCTTGAGCTTCAGACCTACTCCCCAGTTTGTTTAGATTTTTAGGTTCCTTGGGGTGGTGGTGTCTTGGGGGTTTTTTTGGTGGGTTGGTTGGTGGGTTTTGTTTTTTTTTTTGAAGACTTGAGAGTTTTTCGGTCTGGCAGTGGTCTTTGAAGGCAAGTCTGCTGCCTACTGTGAGGAGGCTCTTCAGTTGGCTTGTGCTGCTTTTATGGGAATACAATCAGTCACCACTTGGATAGTCTGCAGAGTGATGTTGATGAAGTAGAGATTAAGATGTAAATTTGACAACTGTCTGAGGAGTGCCATACTACATCTTGAAGCCATTCTAAACTCAAGGGTGACATGTTTCATGTGTAAAAGCAAACAAAAAAAACTGCCATCATTTGGGTGTAAAGGTTTTCCTATTCATACAGGTATTAATTTGGCGACAGTATCTGAAACTGACACTTTTGAGTATTTTTCCTTACCCCAGCTCATGGAGGACTTAATTTAGTTTCCCATTCAATCACAGACAGGATTTCCATTTGGGACTCTGCTTTCACTCTCTTAGGAATAAATCTTTGGAGGTGTTGGCAACTGCCTGTTCATCACATTTCTATGACAGGGATTTTCATGATGGATGTGTTATTAGCTGAAAAGGTTGCAAAGTGTTTTATTCTTAGTACACTGTAAGTTTTTGTGAAAAGATTGCCTTTGAGAGCTGTAGCATGTTGGAAATTGTACCCAAACGGCATTTGTGTCGGGAACTTAGCCTGCATTCCTTCGTCCTCTTGCACAGCTCAGGTGTCAGGTGTTTGTATCAGCTTGTTGTCAGTGTAGGTATTTCAGGGTGACTTGAGGACTTTGTCCTCATGACTGAGAGCTGAAGATTTGACTCCTTCATGTAATTCATCATGGAGGAGGTGATGTGAGAGCAGCCTCTCTCTGTTGTGCAGCACAGACATCTGAGGATGCAAGGACTCACACAATATCACTGCAAAGGCAAGAATACCTCCCACCACTCTACAGCCTGAATCCTCTGTGGGCATTACAGGTGCACATACAAGTTATGAGTAACAAAAAACTGCTAGTGAGATACATGGGGAAAAATACATAGCCACAATCTGTAAATCTCCCCAGTTTCAAAGAACAAAGTGAACATAAATGGGATGTGAAACACCATGTGCATATGTGTTGCATCCTAGTAGAAAGCAAGGAAGTAGTGTGCTGTTGAAAGGAGAGAAGGGAAATAACATTTTAAGATAGTATTTGAGGGATAAACAGAGTTGCTGAGTCATTTGTGACTCTGCGGTGATACAGGAGTCAAAGTTTTCTCATTGTCAGCATTTTGTAGGCAAAAGTTGCCATGTGAAGAATATAGTTATATGTAAAAGCAAAGTTAACATACCAGCACATTATAGTACCAGACTGCTTTAAGTAAAAATTGTTTTGCTGCCATGTACTCAACACAAACATAGTGAACATTTTCTTTTCAGAGGAATGCTTGGGCTAACATCCTGGCGAATGAACATTTTTCCCTAAAGAGTAAGATCTCTTTACAGAGGGCATACTGAAAGCACACTGTTAGGATTTGTTTTGCTAATTTTGAGAGCTGACTGTATACATAGTCAGCTGATCTTGTACTTTTGTTAAGAAATCTTAAGTTACAGTTTCTAAGAGTATCTGCAGTGGTGGATGTAGAAAGAAGAGGTAAAATCCAACAGGGACAAAAAACAAAAGCCAAGTCTTAAATTTCAGAACACTTCATCCTGTAGAGAAATAAATGGAAATTCAGGGAAAAAATAGAAGTGGAATGTAAATACGAAGGTGAATTTGTAGAAATTCTGCTATATCTCTTACCACACAGCACAGTAGTACCAGGAATAGTCCCTTCTATTCATTTCTGAAAACCTTAGATACTAACTTCTCATCTACTTAAAGAACCTAAGTGATGACTTTTTTGGAATCAGTTTAAGCTAGAAGCTGAGAAAAAATGAATTGCTGCCAGTAAGTCAGATTTAGCCTTACGGCTTATTTTGAAACCTACCATTACCCTTAAACTGAATGATGTAAAAAGGAAATGCTGTATGAGCAAAGACACATGCTGGCCAGCATTGTCTTTATTTGTTCAGATCCACTGTTGTATAAACCCTTATCTTGAAGACACTCAGCAGTTGAAATGTCTCCAAATATTCATAACTTTAATGTACAAAAACTTACATACAAGCTTTACATTTAGCTTCCACTTGATTTCTTTTTTATTTTTTTAAATTACATTATGCCAAAGGAGCCTGCTAAAAATTGTTGCACAATACTGAGTTTCAACTGAGTATATTTTGCTATTGAAATATTTCATTTTTCATTTCTAGCCTCTTCTTGTGCCTCACAGAATTCATTCAACAAGTAGAAATGGAAGAGAAGAAAAGACACGCTCTGAAATAAATTGTAAGCATGTGTACTATGACAATGTGAAGTATTGTTAAAATAATAATCGATACTAACATTTCAATTGGTGTTCTAGGTATCCGGCAAACATTTTTAGCCATCTATAGGAAAATAAAAATGCTGTTTCATTTATGGATATAGGTTCTAGATGACTGTGCTAAGAAATATTTCTATAAATTACAGCTGTGTTGCTCCTCTAAAGAGATTTTACTGCCCTATTTGCTGAATGGTTTTCCTGATCCTTCTATTGAGTAGAAGGGCAAATGGTGATTGTGCTGCCTTTGTGATAAGAGAACTTTCTGTGCCTGTTAGTTTCTAGCAAGCACAAGCTCAGTATGTCCATGTGTTAAAAGTTTCCGTCAGTGACAACGTGATACGCTCATTAAACTGGATTTTTTTTTTTGGTTGGCCTTTGGAGCTAAATTTTGTCTAACTACAGTTCAATTAATTTTTTTTTCCTTTTCTCCTCTTTAGTTGGTCAAGTAAAGTTTGATCCACCCTTGAGGAAAGAGACAGAGCCACATCATGAATTTGTGAGTAATGAGCAGCATGGGCCATGTGCTGCACATTATCTCTTGCAAATATCTCTGGAGGAGGAGGAGAAATCCATGAAGTGTAGCATGCTTCCTTAGCACTATTAAACTCATTAGTGATTTTACTGACAAGTTGTAACATACTGGTTTGAAATTTTTTGTGCCATTACGCTATATGCACAAAACTACTTATTTGTGCGCTCTGCCAGGTGTGATGTATGTGCTAAGCAACAACCCTTTGTCTTGTAGGATTCTTCTGTCCTTTATACCTCATTGCCCAGTATATCATTCCCTTTATTTATAGAGTTAGGTTTTATTAATCATAGAATTACTATACTTACTTAAGTGTTTCTCTCCCTTGTTCTTGTATTGGCAATGGAAATTAAAAAATTGAGAGCTTGAGGAAGAGGTACAATGCATTTTAAAAGAATGTCCTGTGTGAACAATGCTGTGGCTCTGCATCACACCTGAGCCATGTGATGAAGGTGTATTGCCAATGTTTTCTTGCTATGGACCCATCAGTACAAAGGGTATGAGAACACAGGCAGTGAGGGAAAAGGCATCTGTGCTGTCTCACATACGGGCTTGCAGTAGCTTCCTCCCTTCTATGGAGACTGTTGCTTTCCACATTTGTGCACTTGGGCTGTTTCTTCCCATTACTGGATAAAAAGACACTCCTTTGCTTCCTGTCTGCAGACTTGTGTATTCTTTTTATTTTATTCTAAGACAGGTGTTAATGTGAGAAAAGTGGCTTAGTACATGGGTGGGAGGGACCTTGGTTTTGCTCTGAGTTGGCTTTGGGAAGGGTGTGTACCTAGGAATGTACTTCTATAGTCTACAAGCCACATGTGAGTCAGATTTCTGACGCAGATTTCCTTGTGTTGCTCTGTAGTTGTACTAAAATCACCTTCCAAATGCCTTTCCCTTTGTTAGTGGGTCAGCTGGCTCTGGGCCTATAAGGTTGCCCTTCCTCAGAACTGGCTGGACAGGTAGCCTGCAGTGTCTGGTGCCTGTTTGAGATGGAGGAGAGTAGCTTACCAAATCACACATAGGATTTAGACAATTATTTCAGATATGTTACTTAGACATTGACATAACTGCATAACAACATCATTTAGGAGCCCTGGTTAGGAGCCCTGTAAGTTTCTGTTAAATACGGTAGTGAAGTCAGTGCTTCTACCATAAACTCATCAGTTAACTCAAAATTATTTTTTTACTCATTCCAAGTTATCCTGGCTTTGTTTCCCTGTTGCATAGTCTGGATTGTAAAGAAAATACAGTTGGTAGCAATGTGTAGTTCAAATGGTAATGCCTTTGCTCCTTAAGAGTTTTATTTGTACATACCCAGAATAATAATTGCAAAAAAGATGTTAGTGGAGAAGCTGAAGTTTTAGAAATACTGCTCCCATTTCTTTCTTTTTATCAGTCACTGACTATACAAACCAGTTAGCAGACAACTCCATGGGACAGTGGTGTTTTTCTTGCACCATAGGAACTGAGTTGCTAAACTGTGGATATTTTCTGCAGGGATTAAAACATAGTTTTTGAGATCCCTTCTTTGGCAGGTGTTGTGGGAAGGGAGGAATCGAGCCTCTTCCTACGTGGTGCGTTAGCAATCAGGACCTTTGCACTTTGGAATCTCAGCAGCTCTTGCTGCTCTGAGAAGGGCTCCAGATTAATTCTGATGATAAGAAAATGCCTTAGTATTGTCTATTCTGTTCAGACATTGCATATTTGAGACCTGTCCAAAGAACTTGGCTCGCTCCCTGTGTATAAGGAAGATCTATAACTTTTTGGATCTTTCTGAAGAGGAAAATTAGCTGCTTGTATCAGAATGAAGCATGCAGACCTGGTGTGTTCTTTCCAGATAAAACAGAACTACGATTCTGAAAATAATGATGTTGGGTCCGGAGACCGAAGAAAAAACATATGGCTGCAGATTAGATATAGAACCAATGGACAATTTAAATTGGCATGCCAATTGCAAACATGAGATCTGTTCAAAGAATGGGGACTTTAGTGAAGAGCCTCAGCACAGACCAGTCTGCAGGAGAAGTATGTAACAATCTGCACACTCTGGGAGAGGAAGTCTTTGAAATGGAAGTGGGAGCAAGAGATGCCTGTCTCTTCCTTCAGCAGTAACAGTGTGGATCCCTTTTCATTAAAGCAATTCTGACCCTTTTGCTTCTGCCTCACTAAAGCACACTTAAGATCAATTTCTCATGGGTATGAGTGCACAAACCAAAGGACTGGATCACTGCAACATGAGGAGTTACTCTCAGTGGTACACTGAGGTGTTGAGCTAGGTATGCTTGCCTCTTACTGGGAGTTTATTACACATTACCTCAGCTCAGGTGATAATAATTCTTCATTTTGGTGTGATTCAGTAGTGTTTGGTAATGTGACCATGCCCTTAGCTGTGTTCTACCCCCATCCTGAGAACTGTGTTAACATGATTTGACTGTCAATTAACAATCCCTTTTTATTTTTTTCGCAAGAAAATTTACCTTTATGTATACCTGGCTTTCAGTCACAGTATAAATAATTTGAGTTTCTTAATCTCTATCTAATGAACAGCCTGACAGTAGCGATTTTTTGGACAATTCAGAAGAAATATACTACACTGCAAGATCTAACCTGGTATTTTTCTATCTTACGCTTTTCTTTGTCAGTGTTAGTTTTGTCCTTCTTTTCCTTTATCAAAGCTCATGTTTTGTCCTGTTGTTGTACTGGTGTTTTCATCTGTGTAAAAAACATCCAATATACGGATTAGTCTATATGTGTATTTCTGTAATGTAGGAATAAATTCTTTGTATGTGCAGCTTTGACAGTATTTAACCTGTATTCAGGTTTAGTTGAATCACTTCTATGGAAGGGGTTTAGTATTATGCATTCATTCTAAGTTTCTTTTTCTGCCATGCTATGCATAACTTCGTAATGTTTGGAGAGATATTAAAAATAGAAGAAACATTCTCTTTGTATTTTTGTTTGGTAGGTCTTTAAATGGTCCCCTGAAAGACTGTAAAATTATATAAGTGTCTCTGAATTCTCCAGATGGTAATTGTTATAGAATAGATATACAGTTAAGAAAAATAACAGAAAGTGGGATCGCAGCTGTTTTCAATGTCATTTGTCATCATTTACAGTCTGATAAATTTTTCAAATTTTCTCTTGCTGCACTGCTCAAAAATTTGGTTGCTAGCATTGCAGTGTAGAAATTACTCTAGGAAGTAAGGTCTTATTGGAAAATGGTGTCTTATTTTTCTTCTCTTTGTATAGTTAAATGAGTAATGCATTTAAGTCTTAGACATTTTCATATACTGTTAAAAAAAAGAAGAAACATTCTGTGCTAGATGAAGAGCATCACTGCTAACTTTCTTAGATTTGTGAAATGTTTGCTATAAGTGCACTGAGAGGAAGATGAAAAACTGGTGTGTTTGGGAATGTTTGTTTTGTATGTGATTTTTTTGTCCTTGGTTTTTTTTTGTTTGTTCTGACATCAGTTGGCCTGGTGTGACTTGAATCTGCCAAAATCATAGTTACTGGGAGTTTAGACTGTCTTCCCCTTTCTTGGAAGGAAATTTCTGTACTACTTCACTATAAAAATGTTTCACAGACTGTTTCGAGATGTGTAGCTAAGATATCTCTACCTGGTGGGAGCACCTCCATCCTGTGCTGTTCCTGTGGTATTGGTTTTTCGTTTGGTTTGCTTTTGGTTTCCTCTTTCCGGTTTCGCACCTTTTAAATTCTGTTGTCTTCAGGTTGTTTTCAGTGTTGCTGTGTATCTTGTTAGCCTATGGGTGTCAGAGTTGATTCAGAACATGTCTCCTAACTGGACTGTCCTTTTCCATCGTTCTTTTGCCCCATGCTGTTCAGTACACTCTTCAAAAATGATAACTGTGATGAAACTTGTAAAGTACTGTTGTCACCATTGTGAGAGGGTTTTTTAAATCGATAGCACTTTGTTTCACTGCTTTTTCACAGCCTCCTGTGCTCATGGTGAATCAAAGAGAATTCTGATTTGGTGGTAATGTATCACCTATTTGTGAGATTTTTCCAGAGGAAATACTTAGTAGTTGGCTCATTCTTCTGTAGTGGACCAGGACACACTAATCAGACATTCTCTGTCTCTCTCCTTCTGTCACTCCCCACTCCTGCTCTGGCAGTATTGGTTTAAAACATGTTCATTGAGAAATGATACATGGATTTTTCAGATGCTATCAAGAGGAAAAAATTACTCGTTTTCACAAGCACAGTATATCGCCTACTGCTGTTGGGCTTTCCCATGCTGTTCTACTGCTTTTGTAAAATACCTTATGAGCAACAACTCCTTTGCAGAGCTGTGTGTCTCTAAGAGCCTAAAAAATAGCCTGAATCTAGGCACACTTTGGGCCATATACAGTTGAGGTTGAAAGGAGATTTAGGGAGTGAGTGACAGTATTTTTGCCTATCACCTAGCATTTTGCACAGAGGATTGATCATATGGCAGTTTACGCAGTCACCATGCACATTAGGTTTCAAATATTTGATGCCTATGATGTGGTTACTGTACAAAATCATTCCTCTCTTTTTCTTCTTCCTCCTCCTTCCCCTGTGTGCTTCTGAAACAGCTACCTGGATCTTCCAGAAGAATGGAAAAATTCAGTGCAGGTCTTGTTTGCAGGGAAAATTGTGTCCAAACCCCAGTTACCCCTTCATGCGAATGGCAAACAGAAAGGACAAGATAATACTTCTCTTTGACCTTCTACAGATATACCCCTTTGATTCATAGCTAAATAAATAACAGACTATTTTGCTCTAGGTAACAAGGCTCTTCTGTCTCTCAGGATAGATGTTTTTTCCTTTTTCTGCAACTAGGCAGCAAGTTTCTCAGGAGCTTCCATCATTTGAGATTTTCTTGCACATGCTACTTCCTGTCATTTAGAGTTCCTCTTGTACCTGTCTTCTTAGTTGTATCTTATGTGCATATTAGGCTCTACATAGGATAAACCTTTTCACTATCTTTCTGTGTATGTTAAAAGCTTGTTTGGATACAGGCTCAAATAAGAGGGAGAGCTGAGCATTGCATTTGCAGTGAGCTCAGGAAATGGTTTAAATCAAAGTTATCTTCTCTAAAAATATGAGCTACTTTGTTCTGGAACAATTTCTAAGTTTTATGCTATTGATCCTGAGAGAAGCACCTAAAAATCCAATGGCTAAATGTATATGGCTGTCCATCTTATACTGCAACATGCTGACAGTCTCAGGAATCTACATGAGTTGGCATAGTAGGACCAAATTTCTGTCATTTGAAATGTGTTTTCTGTAATTATGCATATGTTCAGAAGCTGTCCCAAGTATCTGCCATCCTGAGGAAAATTGTGCAACTTCTTTCAAGTTATTTTTCTAATAGCTCAGTTCCCCTCTTGGGTTCCAGGTGTGGCATTGCAAGTGGCTGTGTCAGTATGGTCAAGGGAGGTGCATGGGGTAGAGAGAAGCTGGGAGTAAGGGCTGTTAAGCCCAACTTCTGCAGTTGTGTTGCTGCATGTGTAGTTGCATCCACTTCTCAGAGGTGACGTGTTCTACTTACCGTTGTTGGAGTCTGTCAGGAGGAATCTGTATGAGAATTTGGCCTCTGGTCATGTTGACCAAATGAAAGTATTTTCATTTGGGTTATCCTGATCTACAGTGAAATACTGTGGCAAAACCTTTTTCTTCTCATTTATAGTGATTTGAAAAATAATTGTGGTTCATACACAGTAGACTGAGCTGCAGACCGTCTTACATTAGATACACCATCAGAGAATCCTCCCAAAAAGATAAGGTGGAAAGGAACCCCTGGTGATCTCTAGCTTACTCCTGCTTAAAACAGGGGCAAGCTCTACATTCTTTGGGCCCTGTGGATTTGCTGTGGTTGGCCACCTATACCACAAGTATGTGCTGCTGCTGTGTAATTCCCTCCTTGGCTGCTGGGAACTTCAAACCCTTCTCTGCAGGGTTGCACTTCCTGCCCCCAGCCACCTTGTCCTTAGCCTCTTTTGTATGTGGTGCGTCTGTCCTAACTCCAGAACCCATGAGGTTTTGTTGCCTACTCCTCCAGCTTGAGGTGGTCCTAACTAGCAGCCCACTCTTTTTTTATGTTGTAGAGTGGCCTCATAATACTGTTGGCCAGTTAACCTCAGCACCTGGTCCACCATACTAACACATACAAACATGTGATTTGTAACATTATAGCTAGTAATTAATTTTTTTCTTTCTATTATAGGAAAATTAAATGTTTCTACACCAGACTCTAATTTAGGCTGGACTATTCAACACAGTGAACAGTGTTGAATTCTACTGTTTTAGAGAGTGACAGAGGAGCTGAGCTGAACTTGGATTTGGTATCTCAGGTTTTAACCTACAGTTGTTCTCAGTTCTTACACACTTAGCATTCATTCTGGACTTCGTTAGCAAAGAATTCAGTAAGAGGTTTGCAGTTACCAACAGTCTGCATTGTTGTACTTGCCAGCTGCATTTATGCATTTGATCCTATTTAAATAATTTGGTCATGGTTAGATTTTGTTTTCTTTTGGCTTATATATATACTCTGGATTTAATAATTTGTGATGGTTTTTAGTAACATTTCATTTTAGGAATGCAATGTTTCAGTGTAGCTATTCTGTATTTGTTAATTATTTGTGGCAGAAAAACTAAAATATTGATAGGAAAAATTTGAATTACGGAGATTGATGTAGATAATAGAGAACTTTGCCCAGGAGCATTCTTCTTTAATTTAAGTCTTTTGTCTCCTCACTACACATGTATACATACGCTTTTCCTTTGCTGCAAGCCATGAAGACTCCTATCCTACTTAGCTAACATAGTTCTAAAAACATATTGCAACTATCGGTGTTGAATTTCAGAGAGTCTTCATACTTTTTTCAGTTTTAGACAATGAAATGGTGTGTGGTCCTTAGGATCATAAGAAAATAAGTGGAAATGGGGAGGAAAAGCACCAGTAGTTTTTGCTCCCTCTTTTCCTTCCCTGTATGTTTTGAGTATTTTCTGCCTTGGCAAAAGTAATTGAGAAAATGAGATGTTCAATTTTATTGCTAGGAGGCAGTTTAAAAATGCTGTGTACAAGTGCCTGTTGCATGAGGGCATCACCATAGCTAGTTAGGATAGTGATGGTCCATTACATGGGTATGAAATGGTGCTGTTTGTGCCAATAGGACATTCATAGACAAAATACATAGAGAACTGAAATACAAGGGAAGAGAGGAACAGTGGTTGTCAAGCAGTAATGCACAGTAAAATGTCAGTCAGTCACCAGGGACGAATTATATTTAGAGTGTTTAGAAAAATATACATACAGCTTTCTATTTCTGATGTGTTGCCCTATCCAAAGAAATTCAAGAATGCACTTTTTATTGAAATAAAGGCGTTAAAAATATAGCTTGTGCATTAGTTAATATTAGGCTCTTTTTAAAAACAAACTTTCTCCTCATCAAAGCAATGTGATAGGAATTGCATCATCATTTTACTGAGAGAGATGTGTATGTGACTTCTCCTTTGATATGTTAGTAGTCAGAAGGTGTTTTGTATTCTTTGAAATTGAGTTACTTCCCCAGCATTTTGCAGATTTAAAGTCTTAATTTGGTCACTTCAAAAGGTCTTGTTTCTCACTGGATTTCAAAACATCAAATGTAGGAAGTAACTGTGAATTGCTGCTTCACTATATACATTCAGTTTTGGTTTTGAAGGCCTGAACACCTAAAAATAGAATTTGAGTACAGCCATGCCTACAGAACAAATTAGGAACATAAGAGTTAAAGGTACAGAAGCAGTTAACTTACCATGAAATTCTACAGAAAATAGATACCAGGTTTTTAAAATTTAAACTGCATAAGGTATTGTAGATTTGTTCATCTCCAGAGAATAATTTCATAGCATGACTTTACCATCAAATTTATCTTTGCTTTGAGGAAATCTGTAAATTGTTTTTAGTCTGATTACTTTGCACATGTGATTTATTTGAAAGTTTGATTTGCCTTTCTGCATGGCAACATCCTTTAATGTTACCTAAGCTGTTGAGAAGAACTGGTAATTATTCCCTGTACTACCTCTTTCCCAAAGGAATCATTGCTAGCAGGTAGCACTCTTGTCACATGAGTGTACACAGATGAGTTGTTGCAGGAATGAGTTGTTGGTCACCTGAGACTGAATGTAGAATAATCTGGGATTGCATATTTGATTTAATACCAAGATAGATGACTTCTCATTCCTACTGGCTGTAGATCTCAAGATGCTGTTGGAATATATCTGTCTAGTCACTCAGGTTTATTCTGTGTGAATGTTACCTCATCTAAAAAGAATTTCAATTATCTAATTGACACTGTATGTTAAATGAAAATATCAGTGTGGATTGATAAGGTTGTTGAATAACTGCATCATTTAGTAATTAATGCTAATCTGTTCTTCCCAGTGGGAACCTGTAAGTGATAAACTGTCCTATCTTTGTGTGGCTTAAAAAAATAATCTAGCTATAGTGGGTGTTTTGATAAAGTATAACTGCTCACTGGAGGCTTTGCAGGATTCATGCAGTATTTACCAATGTTTTTATATCAAATATGTGGCTATAAGGTTTATAAAATTATCGCTTCTGGATAGATTTGAAACAAAAAGGTAGAAGAAAAATGTATTTCACTTTTTAAAAGCTCTCTAGATCTTGTGTTCATCTTAGAGTGCAAAAGAAGTGATTTCACTAGCAGTGCATTACTTGACCCCACGGAGTGAAAACCAGCAATATTTACAGGGCTTAGGAAATTATCTATATGCAATTAAAGTCATAGTCAAATAAATGCCAATAGGCAGCACAAGACTAAACTGAATAAAAACAAAGCTTCTGCCCTTTTAAAGCATTTAAGCATAAGTAATTCTGGCAGATGTCATTTTTTATAAAGATATTTCTAGCAGGGATTAAACAGTCTGGTGACAGAGGAAGGCTCTTTATGTTTTGGATAGGTTTCCTTACTTTCTCTTAGTAATTTTCCTATCATTGCTGTACAGTGTGTATGTAGCCATACATTGCACAGTGTATAAATCAAAATGGACAGACATTTTGGCTCTGCACAGCGTAATCTTTGTTTGTCACTTTTGAATTACGTGATTTTGCAACATATAGACAAAAGGTTTGTCCCTTCAAGGAGAACATCTCAGATTTCATTATATTGATCGGGGGGTTATTTTTCTCAGCAGCTTCCCTGTCTTTATTCTGGCGTTCATGGACTCACACAACCTGTTTAACCTACCTGTTTGTGAGTCTGGTGACATCTTGTGTTTCCAGTCTTGTTATTTTCTGCTCTAGAGCCTGAATCTTCAAAATGCCTGTGCTTACAGATGGAAGTCTTTGAGATTGCATAGAAGTGATATGAGTACTCAGAGTAAATAAAGTAGAATCTGTTTCTTCATGGTGGACTGTAGTACATCAGCTGGTGGTGAGGAGCAGCAGAAGGTAGTTATGTGTGTAAGGTGATAGATATAGGGAGTGATGAAGAAATGAAATTGTGGAGGGCTTAGGATGGCCTTTCTTGAGGAGAGGAGACTTGCTGAATTCGTTTAGAGCTCAGAGCAGGTGCAATCAAAATTGAGGCATAGGAGCATGATGAAACTGTGAAAAAAAACCAGGATAGCAGAAGGGATCAAAGATACCCATGACTGATGCCTGACCCCTTCCTCACAGAGCCCAGGATGTGTTCCTGGAGAGGAGCAGGCCTTCCTCCCCACTGGCATGACCACTTGTGGGCCATTCCTTCCTGTCACCTTACTTTACAGCTCCAGTAAAAGGCGTGTAGAGGGAAAGCTGGGTGGTCCTTGCGAGTCAGATAGTGGATAGAGTTTGGTGGTTTGTGATCGTTATTCCAGTGTGTAATTCCAGAAAAAGATGTGTAATAAAGTTGGTACAGAGATTGAAGAGTCTGTCTCTCCGTGGTTCAGGAAATGCCAACAGCAGGTTTGCCTTTGCAATTTTTATTCAGTCTTCTGATGTAAGCCTTCTTTTACATGGATTAATTATCAGTTACATACTTTTTATTCCAAAATATCTCACTTGTTTTGAGAAAATACGTAAAGTCACTGAAGCAATCCAATGCTACTGATAGCTGTGGTAGACACACCCATGTGGATACTACTACTTAGCTTTACAGAGCAGAATTGAGGGTGCAGTAAGCAACGTGAAACTGCTTGCCAAGCAGAAAATAATATACATAGCCTTTTATTAAAGTGGTTGCCCTTCAGCCTGGAACTGAGGGCTGCAGTGGTTTCTGCTTTGTCAGCTTGGAGCACTGGTCAATCTAGTGTGAGATTTTTTCCTCTGTTTTTTAAAAATGTTCTTTTGAGAGAGAAACTCCATGAGTTGTCGTCTAATTCAAACTTACTGCTCTTATAGCTTGGATATCTGGGTGTTTTGCTGAAGCATGACATGCTTTTGATACCGGTTCCAGCTGAAAGGGGCCTGTTTGACAGATACTGGGAAACCTTTGAAGTGTTTCCTGGGAAGGAACAGTGTAACTTCCTTTTCACCAGTTTAGGTGATCAATAATATATTTTTTCTTGTATTCGCTCAGTATTTTGGTAGCAAGCTTATCTTAGATTTTTCCTCTTGTGATCCACCTGAAGAAAAAAATATACCCTGTAACTATAGCAGTGTCCTCCTGGCAGCTGCAGATTTGATGGTGCTTCAGGGGGATCCCTGTTTTCCATTAATGCATTAAACTTGTATGCCATATAGTGTTTATTTAACAATAGTGTTGGAGGCCTATTCCCACTTCCTTTTCTGTGTAGCTTATGCTCCATGATTGCTAGGTGTTTGACTTCATTAATACTGTTATTTTTCTTTTCAATATAAAAGGTGTTCTTAAAGTGTACACATATTGTTATAACCAGAGCTATAAAAGCACTTATTGTCATCTCTGCTTATTTTTTTAATGTTCCCGTGTGCTAAAGGCATTTCAGGCTCCCTGCCAGAACTGCTTCCCATCTGAAATGAGTACTGCAGCATGCCAGTGAGTGGTGGTTGGGTTCTCTGTGAGATCTGATAGATCACAAAGTCCTTAGTAGTTTTTTTTAATTATCTTGTTTTTCTTGTTGTTCTGTTTGCTTTTCTGCAGCTGACTTTATGTGAGCAAAAGATCTGTGTGCGCAGGGAAGGGACTAAGATCAGTGATTTAAAAGGAATTGGAGATGCAGCAAGCTGGCAGAGACGAGATCTTTGGGTGCTGTAGGCCTGAGAGTAGTGTTAGGTGCCAGGAAGGACAGAGAAATGGGCTCATTTGGTATGTCAGGTGTAGCAGAGGGGAGAATAGCAGCATGACACAGAGTGTGTGTTTGATCTTCAACTGTTCATCTTAGATAAGATTTGTTCTCTTATATTTGTAGGATCTGCAGCTAGAATATGGTCATGGTCCTCAGTGTGGCTACTTCTTGGGTGCAAATAAGTGAGTAAGCAGTGGCATTTTGTCTTTCATTCATTCAAGACTGTTTTAATATAAAAATCACAAATGCGTGTAAACGCTTTAGCTGAAACAGAGGTAGTAAAATAAGTTAAGCTTGTTTCTATCAGTTACAATTCCAAAATCATTATTTATTTCTAGTGGTAACTCCAGTGATATAGAATTGCAGCACTTTCCAGTATTTAAGGCAGTGTTGACCATGCTGTCTCTATGGTGATGTAAGCTTCTTTTTGAGAGCCATTATCTTGGCCTGCTTGTTAACAAAATGTTCTGGTAGGTCATGATAGAGCTCAGCTTTACTCCATCTTGGCGACTACCAGTGCTGCTCTTCAACATTGTTTTATGCCCTTCTTCATTTTGTAGGTCACTAGGACCATAAAATTCTAGATGCTTTTTTTAAAAAAAACTTAATTTTCTTAGCAAGCCCTTTAACTTCCTACATTTAATAATTTTGATATATTAATTATATGAAATAGTTTTCTGTGTAATTTTTCCTTTCCACCCAATTTCTTAATTGCATTTACGCATGACAGAATTAGGATGCCTAGCTTTGATTTACTAAGTTAAATCATATTGAAACATGCAGAAAATCTAAGCATAGAAGATGATATCTTTGCACAATCTTTAATTGGGAGAAATATGAGTAGTGATATCTTCTGAAATCCTGTTGTTTCTTATTCCTGGTTTGCCTGTGATTCTTCCCTGTCTGTGTTTTCAGGCAAAGATATAAAAATGAATTTCAGAATGTTACAAAACATAACTAGGGAAGAATAAATTTACTGCAATAGTAGTTTAATCCTCTTGTCAGTCTTATTTAATTTTTTTAAGATTACAGTTTTCTTGGATAGTGTGGATTTGTTTTAAATTGGATCAGGCTAATACAGTCCTTGTTTTAGAGTACAAGGATGAAGGACCACTGCACTTAATAGCAATGCATTCACAAACGCACATGAAAGTGTGTTGTGTAAAAACAAAAAATTACACCTCTGTTCATTTGTATGTGGGTGCTTGAGGTATATCTGAAAGCCAGCTGAAATAATGTGCTTTGGATTACTTACTGATAGAATCGTAGGAGTTTTTCTCCTGCTTTTGATGATTGTATTTGTGTGCCACAATTAAACTGTGTTCTTATTCTTATTTAATGCTGAAGGAGTCTCTTAAAATCAGTTGAAGAAGAACTGCATCAGCGGTAATTCTATTCTTTTTTTTTCTCTCTTGTGTATTTCCAAGTAATTTGTACATTGATTTTCTTTTTTTACTGTCTGTCACTACTAGTTCTTGTTTGTCCCTGTGCTTGCTGAGAGGCTTAGTTGTCTGGATTGCAGTTGTGCTTTAAAGAATAATAATGATAAAAGATAAAAGACAGATAAATTCTGTAAAAGAGGTAGTAGCCCTTGAGCTCAGAATTTTTCAGAACAGTCAAGGTAATTTTAATACAACTCACTCAACCATAGTACCTTGTTCATTTTCTTAGGGGGCATGTGGCACATTTAGAAGATGATGATGATGCAGACGACGATTCTAAACAGTAAGTCCTTCCTTCTTGAAGATTTTTTATAAAAATATATACAGTATGAGTCATGTTCTATCTCTTATCTCATGTTTCTTTATTCTGTAGCATTTCTGAAGGTAGGCATTTGTGTTGTTCCTAGATTACATCACCAGAAGCTTTCTTAATCTGCTGATAAAGTTGTTATAAATTGGGGGGGGGTGGGGGAGGGGAATCTTGTTCCTCGCTTGATACAGTTGTCCTTTTATCTTCTATTATTGAACAAAATCTTCCATTATTACATTGAGGCAGTAATTAATCTGATCCCAGTGCTGGTGCCTTCTGTAGAACCAAGGACTATATATTAAAATAAAGCTCCTTAAAGCATACATAAAATAAATACATAACAGTATTCTTTATGTGTTTGAGTTTGTTCTGTCCATGTTCTCAACTAGGAGGATGCTTGTATGGGGGCTTGATGTTTGGAATAGAGGCAGCTCCCTTACTACAGAGGAAGCAGGGTTATGTGACTGCAGAGGCAGTATCAATAGGCATGTCTTAAATTAATTATGCTCATGTTAAATTCCACTGGTATAAGTATTCTTGGGCTCTATTTGATTGATAGATGAGAGCTGAACAATTCAAAATATATAGCCAGTATGTGTAAGTTTTCATTCCTAAATAAATCTGATGTGAAGACCAAAAGGGAAGATGCCATTGAGGCAGAATTTTTGTTTGCTTTCTGTTAATGGATAATTTGGAAAGCTGTTGCTTCATACCAGAAACCTTTAAAACATGTGCTATCTGTTGCTGGCCTCTGTCTCTTACAGATAATCAAATAACACACTCTTGTTTCTTGGGTTTTTAACTGCTGTTCTTTTATGACAAAGGCAGTGGTTTTTATCACTGTATTGAGCATGAGGGGACAGCCCCTTCAAGAAGAGTAAAGGTACTGATGCTGTCCAGTGTCAGTTTGGTGATAAGTACATTAAACTTGCTTTTTTTTTTTTTAATAATCAGCTTCTCAAAACACAATGTTTGCTGTTTGACATGTGTAATATTTATAGAAGAAAAATCATTTTAGTCAGTTTATAGCAGGCTTTGTTCCCTTGCTAATTCCTTAAAAAATTCTTCGTATTTCATTACTGAGCAGTTGTTTGAAGACGTGATTGATTACACAGTCTATCAATAATAAGAAGCTCTCACATCTTGTCTTTGAGAGGAAGAAGTTGATTCTGCTCATGGATTTTCTCCCCAGCATTTGGACCAAGCTGAGAACCTGCTTTGTTCATAGCTCGGTAGACCTTGCTAATGATAACTCAGGTTTCCTGCACTGTGGGCTGTTACAACAGCCCCCTGCAGCTCCATACTTACAGCTTCATTCAGTGAAGATGCCCTGGATAGCTGTGCTGCTGCAAGCCAGCTCAGCTTGGTTCCTCTGTCTCTACTAATCTCTGGATTTTTTTTCTGTATAACACTGTCTCTGCCTGTTCATTTTTGTTTGATGTTTCTTTTTCCCCCCACTTCTTGCTCTGTTTGCAGCCAGTATCATTAACTTCAGTAATGTTCCAAGGCTTGGAACCACTTGATCCCTGCTGTCTTGAAGTGCTTGCACTGATTTCTTTGTCCAGTGCTTTGTTCCTTGTGTGAGCTCCATCAGAACTTTCAAACAGCATTTACTTTTGCTGCTTATGTTGCTGTTGTGTTTCTGTGCATTTACTTTTTCAGGTGAAGCAAGAAAGAACCTAATAGCTTCTGGAGAGGTTCCAATTCATCTGACCCTAAGGACAGTCACCAGCAGTCTTCCAGAATAGTCCTGGTGTTTTTTGTTTCTTCCTGTATTTCATCCTAGGTGGTCTTGCCCTACAGAGAGGGCCTGAGAATGTGTAAGGACAGGATTAAAATCCTGAATGCCTCAACCTTGGATCACACAGATTTTTTATCTGTGCCTTTCTCTTGGTGGCTGCTTGAGCCTAAAGCTCTGCTGCAATGGTTGGTTCATCAGCTTGGTGTCGCATGTCTTCCTCTGTATCCCACTGAGGATTCAAGGCTTTTGTTTGATTTGTATTCTGTGAGGTAGAGCTGCAGTTGGAAGAGCATATGTGACATCAGTCATTTCCCCCTTCAGGTCCAAAACAGAAACAGTGAAATGAAGCCACTGTACACCTTCCAATCCAAACTGATGCCACTGCATGAGAAGAATGTGCACTTACCTTTCTTCATTTAATAATTTTGATTGGTTTTATATTTCCTTTGCTCTCATGTGCAGCAAGGCTGATGATGCTTGAATTTCCTAGTTATGGATGCTGGGAAAGCAGAAATTACTGAGGTACTGCCCTGGATGATCAGCAGTGACAAATTGCACCTAAACTCTGTTGTTGAAACAACAGCACGTGGTCCTTTGTACAAGTATCTGTCACATTTATGCCAATTTGTTGGGGTTTTTTTGTTTGGCTGCCCAGTAACATTGTAATGGCTATCTGAAATGGAAGAATATGAAAGAAAATGGAAACAGAGCTTGGACACACATGATTGAGGACTTAAACTTGGTCCTGTGATATTAAGAGAAGATAATTTCCACCACCATAGCAGCTGAAGTGCATGACACAGGGTAACCTATTCTCAGAGATCTCCTTCCAGCTTCTCTGAAATACAAGATGCCAGACAAACAGATAGGATACCAGGACATAAACTTGTCTGCTTTGCTTCATTCTTTTTACAAGTTGTTGACCTGTAAACAAGCAAACATATCTTTACTACTTGGATATTTTTCCAAAACTTTGAAACATAATTTAAAAATAAGGAGTGTATTTACAAGGATGTCAAGTTTTCACAGCTGTATTACTAATTTATTTAATGGAAATAATTTTCTGTTTCAAAAAGATGGGGAAACAGGACAGTGTAAGAGTTTTTTAAAACGTACCCAATTTAGTAATTCAGTATTTTTTTTCCAATACATCATATTTTTTAAGCCACAGAACCAGGAGAGGATGAATACTCCTGATGCTTCAGCTTTGTTGTTTCCTTTTTGTACTGTTGAGACAAACTGTTGAATTGTTCTTATGTTAAAAAGTTGTCTTTCTCAATATTTCTGGGAAACAAAGAAACTCATGAAGAAAAAAACCCTAACAGCCCAGACACTAGGCTAGATGCCCACTGGAGATGGATTTTGCTTTCATGTGTAAGGATGTTCTAAGTCATCAGCAGTAAATTTTTCAAGGAATGGTATTCATCAGTTTTCTTGTAACTCCCCTTTGCTCTGTATACCTACAGATGGCCCTTTAGAAAAGCTCACTGAATCTTTCTCCTCTTAAGGGAGTGAATATCAGGCCTTCTCTGCATCTCCCTACTTTGCTCTGCACAAGTTTGTGCATCTTTGGCAAATCCATTCATGACACTGTGCTCTCAAGGGGTAGTGTAACCCTGGTGATGGTCAAGGCAAGGCCAGGCTGGATGAGGCCTTGAGCAACCAGATCTAGTGGGAGGTTGTCTGTGCCCATGGGGGGGTGTGTGTGAAGTTGAGACTAGATGATCTGTGAAGTCCATTCCAACCCCTAAAATTCTATGACTTGTTTTCCTATAGTTTCTGTGGTATAACAAAATGTTTGAAAGTATTTTTTGTTGCAGTTATTTGGATGTAACAATGCTGTTGACAAGTTACTGGTGTTTATTTGTATAGCTTTTATAAAGTCCTGTATCCTTTTGAAGACTAGAACAGGAGGTTCAAAGAGGGTAGCAATCTGTTTTGTTTCTTCTCTTTATAGTGCTACTATGAAACCTAAAGTGCCACCTCCTTTACCACCAAAGGTAAGTGAGGGGAATTTGGTTGCCCAGAAGAAAAGGGCACTTTAAAAAAACAAATAAATGCAAAATGTTTAAATTACTGTATTGATGGCTCTTGTGAAAATTTCAGGATCCAAATATTGCATGTGGGGTTTTTTTACTCATTGGGATGTAGCATGGAAGTTCTGAATGTTTTTCAGTATGTTTTTATTCTTACTGCATCTCTTTCAGCCTAAATCCATCTTTATCCCCCATGAAGCTCATTCTTCTGAAAATGAAAATCAAGGGACAATCAAGAGATGCCCAACATCAGAGAGTCCAGCCAAATCTGCATCTCACGTTCCACCCAGACCACCCCCTCCTCGATTACCTCCACAGAAATCTAATCCTTTAGGTAATGAGTGACCTCAAGAAGTATACAAGTATTTCTTAAATAATCTGATATGATTTTGTTTCTACATCCTCACCTGTGCACACATTAAAACAGACTGAGCTAATTTTTCTATGGTGGACAAGTAGCAAAAAGTGCATGAAAGCCAGAATGCATGAAGCAAGCATGCTTGAACTCTTAAGAGGGTCAGTGACTTC